TGTTAAATCCATGGCCATTAAACCACAACCCCATCCCACTGATTTTCATTCCTGACTTGGTTGTTAGGAGCCTTGGAAATGGTTTGCATTTAAGTATTCACTAGGGGACTTAGATTAGGTTTTCTAGATTACTTTCCTCAATTTACAAGTCAATGATCTCGTTCATTAAAATATATTTTACAGTTACATATTGATTGTGGCTTTTATTATAAAGAATCACAAGTTCTTGGAAAAAGTATTAGACAAGGTTTGTGAGGAATCAAGTCTGATTTAGGAGCAAGTACAACAGCAATATATAATTGGTAATTACGGATATGTGAAGCTTTTAACCTAGTTCTTTGCCTATCCTAGTGCTATACTTTTCACTCCACTATAACCGTAGCAGTTTTGTTGTTTCTCAAGCCTCTGAAAACAAGTGCATCTTAAAGCCTTAGTTTCTGTCATTTTCTCTGCCTGGAAATGCTTTTATCCCCCAAACCGGCATAGTTTTTGACCAATCTTTCTTAAATCTTTAATTCAAATTAATTTCCATTGAGGCTCTTTTGTGACTACTTTTCCCTTCACTTGTGAAATCTTATTTTGGTGTTTATTTCCATAGTTGCCTACAATCTTACAACAAAAAGCTTACGCTTCTCTCCAAACTTTCTGCTTCCACAGGTAGGGCATTTACTTTTGCATAGTTTGCTTTTGGATGCATTCTCACCACACAGGAGAGCATTTGGCATGCAAGTGGTAACAAGAGCTTATTCAGTGACAGTCTGCAAGAGCTGGAATACTTATATTTACTTCTTGCAGTTTTGGGAGTTGAATTTGGGCCCTGTGCATACTAGGCAACCATTCTACTACTGAGCGATACTCCCAGTCCAGCACCGTCTACATGCAACAGCTTAAATTTAGATAGCAGTATATAAATTACAAAAATTTTCTTAAAACTCTAAATGCCATTGCAGAGAGTATATCTCAATGACAGAGTATTTGCTTAATGTATACGAGGTCCTTAATTGGATCTCCAGGACTGGAAACACAGACAACACACACATACACACCCTAGATGTTAGCCAAAATTTTCTTCCTCCACAAAACTTATGCATCATAATTGAATAGATTTTGCTACTTCATTAAAAAATCTTAAAACTTATCATTCTCTGTGTGAAAGAGAAAGCGAGTGGAGGGGTGGGGGTGAGGGTCATGTGTATAGCAAGGCATGGCACATGTGGTTAGCAGACAACTTTCAGGTATCAGTTTTGGTTCTTTCCACCATGAAATACAGGGATTCAACTCTGGTCATCAGGTTTGTGCAGAATGCACTTTCACCCACTAAGCAAGCCCTACTACTTTATTTTAAACTATCTAATAAACACCTATGTGCCAGGCACTATGCTAAATGTTGAGATTACTAGAGTTCGTAGTAAAATAAACCACCTTAAAAAAATTATGTGGTAGGATGTGGTTCACAGAAAAACATTAAATTTAGTTCTCCCCCTGGTTTTTCTGCTACTGTCTTCAGTAAAGCAACGACTAGGCTTGAGGGGTGCAATATAGCATACTGCTGGGGTAACAATGAGATGGGCAGGATATAAGCTTTGTGTAGCAGTCTGACCAGAAGGCTAACAAACAGCCCAGCTGACCCTGTAAGAAGCAGTACAGGAAACTGAAAAGCATTCAAACTTTGTGATAAGCCTGACATTCTAACTACAAATTTTATTTAAAACAGGAATAGTAAGCAGCAGTTATTGATGATTTTTAAGTATTAATCACACACTGGCCCACACCAGCTGCCTCTGCCAGTGGGCATGTGGCATCCATAAATGTCCTAGTACCTTTCTTTGTCTGTCTTTGGTGATAGCTGAGGCTTATAAATAAACTCACAGGGGCAGCAGGTCTGGAGTCCTTTAGGATAGATGTGGCAGCACAGTCACTCCCCTTTCTCTACAGTGACTGAAGGAAATCCTCCAAAATCCACCTCTCTTATCTTTCTCTTTCTAGTCTCAGAGTAAAAATTACATGTTTATGGTAGACTATTTCAAAATTCTATTTCAATATATGCTGGTCAGATACAGCAGTATCAAATCTAATACTCTTAAGATGTTTAACATTAGTGACATTAAATGAAGCTGAGATTCATCTACATCTGACTGAATCCAGAAGTCCATTATATCAAAGGTTTGCAAATCAGTTCCCTATAGATTCTGCATAAGTGTTTTACATATTTCAACATCTGACTCCAAACTGATCTGTTCAAATGCTTTTCTTTAGAAATTACAGAGGCAAAGTTATAAAACTTTTAAATGCGTGTTATGTGCATGTGTTGCACTAGTGTATGTGCATTTACCCGTGTGTGGAGGCCAGACCACCTTAGGTGTCATCCTCAGGCATGTTGTACACCTCCTTTGAGACAGGGTCTCTCTCACTGGTCTGAAGCACACAATTAGGCTTGATGGGTTGGCTGGTGAGCCTCAGGGATCCTCATGTTTCCACCTCTCTAAGCTACCAAGATAACAGGTGCTCATGCTTGTGAGGCAAGCGCGTTATCAAGTGAACCCTCTCCTCCAGGACCCACATTTGAATTATTGAAGAATATTAAGGCACTAACTTTAACTGTGAGTTTACCTCACTACTTGTGTTTTTCGCTGTTGAACGAGGTAGTGGCGGTTAAAATTTAGGGCAATACACATTCATACAGACTCGTATACTAGAACACAAGTAAAGTGCATTTATTAAAAAGTACCAGTCACGAATACATGCTCAAGAATGATCTGACATCAGCCCAAGAACTGAGAAACAGTAAGTGAAAAAAATCACATGGCTGTACAATACAGCTGTCTTGGAGGGTATGAGTTTGAGTACCAATTTTTTTGGGGGAAGGGTTTCTTCTATGAGTTTATTTAATAGCAATTTTTCTCGTCTTATATATTTGGCATTCCACACATATGTTCACTGGGAGAGAAAAACCTGCTATTACTATTAAAACTGCCTACTTACCAATGAATAAAGTTAGGCTCCAACTGTCAGAAAAAAAAATCTATTTTTGAAGACTATAAAGAATCTTTTTTCCACATAGTAATGTGAAATCTGTTACAAATATGATTTACTATGGGCCATGGTCCGAATCTGCTCCTGTGTATCAACTAGCTGCTTGAGCATTAGAATACTCACCAGTCAATAAACAAATCTTGTTATGATATTACAGAAATAAAACCTTATACTTCTGGACTTTAGGTTCATTTATATATATATTATATATATAATTTAGTATATATATATAATATAGTACTTTGTAATCAAGT